GTTCATCAGCTTTTGCTTTGACATGCTGCTCAATTGAGAAATAGAGATCAGAATTCTATGAATTCAACTCATTGTAGCGAGTTTTTTTAGAGGTATACCAAATGGGACCGGCCAAGAAGTATGTAGGGTCACTACTCGACACCCCTGTTGACACCTTGAGTAAGGCCGCGTCACCCATTTCGTCTCAGCAATTGACGGACAGTGGGTGTTAAGTTGTCTCTTTAACGGTTAGTTAAAAACACTATGCCACGAAACATTAGTCTTTGTACATGTACTTCAAAACTGCTGTCAAAGCACAATAGAAATTTTGGGAGCCATCCAAGTACCCGCGACTTAGCCGAATCGCGACTTACCGAGGCGCGACTTAGCGAGGGGCCACTGTACTAGTGGTTAGTACAACCTGGGAAACCCGGAAGTGAAAGCCTGATCAGGGTTATAAAAACAACCTGGAAGGCATCGGCTATGAATAGCGTAATTTATATATGTATTGGACAGAACTAAATATTATTCGTACAATAGGGCAATTCAAAGATCTCCTGTTTAGGTACAGTTTGATACCGCATACGTACAACTTGCTGGAGTCGACTCATAAACAGCGCCACGTCAACAGTAAAGTATACGATGTAAACAAAACAGTCCCGAATAAAATGCAATTTATTTACTCAAAAACACTTTGCAAATGAAACATAATTGTGCAGTCAGACAAAACAGTATATGAATCGCGGATTGCGATTGAGCCAGAAAGCGGATGCCTAAAATATGTGATTGATTTTCAGGGATTTCTTCACCATACTTCACGGTACCTACCATTTTGCTTGCCCCGAAACCGGAAAAGGAATTAGGATTATGTGTTTGCACAACAAGCTATGTCTTTCCTCCACTGGCAGCGCCCCTCGCACAAATCAGTGGATTTGGCTGTTCCAAAGTAGTGTAGGAAACGCAAGGAGTTATAAACAATGCACTTTTTAGAAATATTTTGAAATTTTATCTAATTACTTACAATAATATGTCTTAAATTGTTATCAAGTATTTATTTGAAAACTAATCACATGTTAATGAAAGTAATACGTATATATATTCACCCTATTTTCCAAATACCCCTATTTCGTCCAATGGAACAGTCGAACGAACCTTAGTAGCTATGATACCAAAGTAAATAGCCATAGTATATGCGATATGGTAGTTTGGATGTCTATTGATTCTTTTATACCCGTTCGGAGATCACTTGTGTTTGGGGTATTAGCGTTTACCGATCGGGAGCGTACTTGCATCAAATCAAGTACTTTTTTGATTGACCCCGTCATGTAACGACCGCGAAATTACCGGACGATGTGACATTATCACAAATCAGTGCTGTGACATTATGAAGATCCGATCTGTTTACGCGCGGAAACTAAACACCGTGCCTCTCTCCAATTCTATTTCTATGTGAAGACAAACCTCGGGATTTTTACTCGGAGATTTTTTACGTCTTCCGTGACTGCGAGGGCGAGATCGTCATGAGCTCGGCATTATTCAGCCCGCTATCGAAGGGCTACGGGTCCTGGGAAGACGGCGATCTTGAAGCACACGATGAAACGGTAGGTTTAATAAGTCGCGTTTGTAAAATTATAATTCAACAGTCGTCCAGCATTTAGACTTTAATTTTAAATATTATAAATATAAACCTTTCATTTATAAGTTTCTCTAATTTATTATGACGTGAATTTTGTTTGGATTTATGTAATATTTAATTTTATTCACTATTCACTGCATATGTTGGTGTCAAGACAGAATAGCCCAGGTGGAGCTCTTTAGGTCTTGCCTCAAAAGAATGTCATTAGCATTGAGAGGAAAAGTCTGTCTGCAATATAAATGTGGCATCTTAGAAAGTAAAACTAGTAACAGTTAACAAAAATTTAATTTTCATTATGATAATAAATAGTTTAATTAAACTTAATAAAAATTGTTTTTATTTTATTTCATTTTACAGTTAATTAATTTTACATGTTAATTTGAATATTATTTACTCTGGATTTTTTTATGACTGACCCTGAATTTCTTTGCATTTTAAAGAGAATTTTTACAGATTTGGCAAATTTCACAAAAGAAAAAAAACTTTCTGTGAGTCAGTAAAAACCACAAAATCTGTATTACTTTTCCTGGGATCATAAAAAAACAGAATCGCAACTTTTGCAAAATCTTGTTCTCAAAATTTCACAAAAGTCAACTAGGGTATTATACTCATTTTAATTTGTTTCTGATTACACATAAAAATGAAACTAATCAACTTTCACATTTAACTTATCCAAAATGTTCAAAATACCAACAGTGGGGACATCTCTCGGCTCTGGTGAAAAATTAAAAATACTGTGTTTCCTAAACTGTTTTTTTTTAAAGCAATAAAAAAAAATTGAATAATATCAAAAAAAAATGTTCAGCCTTTTAATCATGTAAACAAGGACAACATTTCACAAATAACAACTACATGTATATTCAATCAATGTATTTTAGAATAAATATGAAACCAATCAATTTTCTCATCTACTGATCCAAAATTGTTAATACACAAACCGTGGGGAAATCTCTTGACCAGCATGGAAAAAACACACTATTTTCCAACACGTAAAATTGACTAAAACTGTTATGTTGACAAATATGTCCCAAAACATGAATGGTGAAATTTAAACCTCAATGAACTTTGAATCCAATTACTGTTGATTGTTTTGGTATAAGTATTGACTTTGTATACATGATACATGGTTGTCATTGAAATCCACTCCAGTGAAATCAGATCTGTTTACTATGCAACACATATTTGTTGACATGTAAACAATTGTTGTGGGGTTTATTTCACTTGAATAATCAGTGTTCCTTCCTTTATCTCATGTGCAGATATAGTGGCAGATCAATTTCTTTTTCTGCGAGTAAACACTGCTCTTGATTAACCGACCTTTACAAAATACAGTAAAACTGTTTGAAATAGTTACATGATCATTTGTAATTTTAGTAAATTTCACAATTATATGAACTAACAGACTCCTGATATCTGCATTATTAGCAGTAAGTGTTGATAGTCTAAGAATATCACTGAATTACAACTACCATATTTACTCTATTACGGTAATAGCCCATACAGAGGTACTTGTTTTCTTGGTCGAAAAACCGTATTAGTTACATTGTAAATGTAAATAAATGACGTTCAGACATTAAAGCGGGAGGATTGTCACTTGCAGACGCGCAGGGATTGAGTCCAAAGCTATGATAAAAATACACGCTAAAAACCCAAAGGCTCATGGGTAGACGCTGTTTGTAAACAATGACACGCTATGGCCATCTGACACATGTGCAGGTGATGACTCTTCCCCTTTAAGTGTTTATGGTTAAAATAAGTAACATTTTAATTATTCAGAAAACAATTGAATGCAATTATATACATGTATATGTAGTAGTGATGCACTTATAATAGAATAAATACAGTAAAGCCATATTTAAATAATCCAGCATACAATAAATGCACTGATTTTTGTTGTAAGCAGGGGTTCAGTTGTTTCAAAATTAACTTGGGACATTTTGTTCAAAATGGCTGTTTCAAACTAGCATCATGGGATATTTCTAATATTTTTGCCATATTTTGGGTGTAAAACATTTAATTTAACAGAAAACACTTAAGCCCTTTGTTTGAAATGATTGATTATTTAAATTTAGGATATTTAAAAAAAAATACAATCAAATTAGTGATATCCAGTGAGTGTCTATGTAAATATAATTCTATTATAGATGTGTTTCTAATAATAGAGCTAATAAAAGTGTACTACATATTGAATTAGTGATTATACAGGATGGATGATGAATAGCTAATATACATTGTAACTTGCTAGCTAATTGACAAAAACATTTTGAATCTCGCTGAAACTCTCTTGCTCGTCTGTAAAAATGTTCCAATTTTGTCGGTCTGCGTGAGGGTGTTGATTTCATTGCGTAAATGTTCAACAGCTCATCAGAATGCAGGAAACCAGGAAAACAAAGGAACAAATTGTGTAAGCTAGAAATCAACCCCCATTCTCGCACGGAAACCAACGTAATAACTCAAAACTCATTTATTTGCTCACTGACCAATGAGTTTATCTTGGTGCTCTTCTGTATTTACAGATTTCCTCTACATTATTCCTAATTCCTCAACATTATTCCTAATTACTAAGACAATTTTATAAAATTTTGCCTTGAAAATTCGGAAATTCAAGCCCTGTAATGACAAGGTGACATGTTTTGATTGTCAATATATTTTAAAGTAGCTGTCAACACCATTCATGTCTGGTAATATTTCTCTCAACACAGGTACTGCCAAAACCAATTCTTCCAAATTTACTTGAAGGAGAAGATGCAAGTTTTAAAGACAAGACATTAAATATACCACTGCGAACAAAGACTGCGCAATCTATCATAACTGAACTCTACAAAACTAAAATCACTGCACCACCACCAGAGGAGACCTACACAGTCTACAGTCGCCCAAGGACTGCGGCGACTCCAAGATCAACTTTTTCATATTCTACTCCCAGAACTGCGCAAAGTGTACGGACGAAAAGCGCTGCACCATCATTGATCACCCAAAGTGAACATACAACCCGATCAGATGGAGAGATCGTATTACCGAAAACGTTTCTCACGAGACGTGGTGCGCTGCTACTTTTTTCAGCCCCAGATGAACTAAAGTTTAGTAAAGAACAAAAATGTTATTTGAGTGGACAACAGATTGGGCCACCCATCAGAATTTTAGATGATGGAGTGCCTCTTCGTACTGTGAATAAATTGACGTCATCTGTGTTACAATATGGACGTGATTGGGTAAGTAGATAACTATGTTGTGATGTTGTTTTTGGAAATCATGATTGTTTATATAGCAGTGATTGAAAATATGCGTTGAATAAATTGCAGAACAAAAGTGGATGCCTAAATCAGTAAAATAGTGTTCTTCTCAGGGTATAAACAGTGTGACCACTGGTCTGACTGTCAGTCATTTATGAGGTGTGAGTGTTTTAATAAGTACATTTATTGCATGTTAATATTTTTTTGTTGGTAATATTTATGCAAATGATAATGGACATTAGAAAGCAAATTTGTATTACTGTTTAAGTGTTTTAAGATTTTTTGGGAAAACACTGGTAGTAAAACGTACTCAACCTTGTCAAGGTGTAATTTAGTTCACATTCCATACATAATTTGCATATCAGAATTTTTTTTTTTACAATGATTTTGAATCTTTGTACCACCTAAATTCCAGCCATCATGTCTAAATACATGTAGGTACGCATGCCAAATTAATCTCAAAATGTTATACTTACCAGTCTTTAGCTTGACATTTTTATTGTGTGATTTACTGTGTTTTCCTGCCAAGGTGAAATATATGGTATGGTTTCAATCATTTTACTATGTTTTTTCATAGTGCTATAGAAAAGTAGGAATGCATACCTGTTGTCCCCTGTCCTAGACCATATATACCCAGTAAACAAGCCTCCATCTCATACCTGGATGGATGAATTGTTATCAGTGTAAACAGCAACCTTGTAAATATACACTGTATACAAGTACACATGCCAGTGGTGGAGTGAATGCGAGTATAACTTTATAGATTTTGTGATTGAGTAAAACCTGTCTAAACTTAATAACATTTTCTAGTCCGTTGTATGTACCGGTAATATATGAAAAATCTGTGTAAATCAATGTGAATTGAAAATCTCTGTATACTGAACAATTAACCAATATCAAATTATCTAATTATTTTTTTATTTGTTACACATGTACATCCCTTCATATGAAAAAAGTGCCCCAATCACATTTTAATCTAAATCCAATCTTAAGTCTCTGGTTTTGAAATAATCCTGTGTCAATCAATGGTAACTCGGTGTGTGGATTGTCCATGATTTATTTCTCAGTGGATTTTGGATGATATAGTTCTAAAAGATTGGAGGAAAAAAATAAAATATGACTATTTTTTATATTTCTAGATTCATTGGACTTCCCAGTATGTTTATAACCATTCACACCTCCGAAGAAACTCTTAGCTTGACTGAGTGTGTCTATATTGCTTACATGTATAATGTATATACCAGTAAATTTAGATACCAGCCTTGAAAATTATACTTTGTCATTTTTTTGCATTTTTTGAATTACTATTTAAGTAAATCATGGCTGCATACATTATAAATCAAATGTGGCATTACATAAAATCTACAAAAATTAGATAAAATTTTAGAATTAAATAATTATGCATAATTAGAAACAAAAAACTCTTATCCATTGTATATCATTTGAGTAGCAGTAATAAACTGGATATAAGTTGTAAGATTACCTCTTATTGGTTACCCAGTCATGAGTCAGTTACTGTCTAGCCAATCAGGTGCAATGTACTGAAGTTCATTATTTTTGTAGTCTGAATTCAATACAATATCCTGGAGCGAACATTCTAATAGTAGAGTTTCAATGTTATTTTAAGTAGAATAACTGAAGTTTTTAAGTAGACATTGTGTATTTTTTGTCAGTCAGTCAGGATTTAAACTGTAAAATATTTTTTTTTTTATTTGGAATTTATTTTCCCTGAAGGGATGAATCTGTAAAAATAAATTCTATACTAAACACCTCAATATTTTTTTTCAGCAAAAATGTATTCCAGCTAAAATATTTTTTTTTCACAATAAGTCAAGGAAACTTAGATTTGCTCCATGTTATAAAGTGTTTAATGAAGTGAAGCCTTGGTACACATTGTGTAAGCTCAGTTGCCATTTAATATGCCGAGAAAGAAAGTAAGACAATATATAATATACTGACTATATGTGGCTACATTAAAATAATCGGTCAGCCATGATGGGGAACAGAGTTTTGCCACCTGTTGCTTTAATAAATGAGTAAATAGGGAAATAGTTCACGTAAGCTGACCTGTATTTTGAATCTCTTAGCAGTCTATCTGCAGGTGTTGTTACGTATCTATTGTCTGAAAATCTTCCTAACATAGCTCATGTGTTTCCATTTGGTATCACATACATGTAGGTCAAAGGTCATTTTGTCTCAATCGGTATTTGTGTATTAATCCCTACATGTAAGTCAATGTTTATCATCTTTCACAAATTAATTTCATTTTTTTTTTTATATTAATCAATACCTGCTGCCAATGTTAATTGTTCTAAGATCCAAAATTATTGAATAAATTGAACAAAAATACATACGAATTTGCAAAATGTTCCACTATACAATTTGGGTGGGAAAATATGGTGTTCGTAGGGCCAAATGAAATAGACACAAATTTGTAACAAATGCAGCTATAAATGACCATCTCACAGATGAGAAACTTATATTTTTATTATTATGGCCTATTTATAGGCCTATAGATTTGTATGTGTTTCTATTAGGAATTCTGCTCTCACAGCTGCATATGGTGTTTAATTGGCATCTGTTAAAAATCTGATGGAAGTATAGACTCCATTTTTTTTAATTTTATATACCGGTAGTTGTTATTGTTATTTTTGTTTATTTACAATATATATAATAATGGCAAAAAAACAAAAAAAAATATTTATAAATAAACAAAAATAACAATTAAAAAATGTAAAAACTAAAATGAAATTGAGCCTAAACCTACATCAGTTTTTAATCAGATTGAATAATAAGGTACATGTATACGATAATTTGATAAAATTTCCCAAGTGTATAGGCATACAATGTTGTATTGGGAAAATTTGTATTTCTAGAATGGCAACAACTCCTTGCATATTGAAACAATTTATTTTGATGCCTCTGTGAAATCAAGCACAGGTTACCTGAGGTAATGCTGACTAATTTGCATATAAATAAATTATATTTTATAAATATTTATACATAAAATTAACAAATTAATAATAAATCACTATTTTCTTAAAAAATCAATGCACATGACGAAGGGGAACCATTGTGTAACAGGTGTGATGACTCTTACCTGATACACAGCATGTACATGTCAACCAATCCAGCATGGAACCAGTTCTCTTTCTGGTTATGTATTTCCCATAAAAAACACTCCCATACAGTAAACAGATGCTTGCAAACATTGGTCACAGTTGTCCTGGTTTGTAAACTTCTGCTTTATCTACAGGTCTTTGAACCGTACAAAATGTACTACTGTCAGTAAATTACTTTACACTGCCCTGAACCCATTTGTGTCATGCTTTGTTAAAGACATGTAATTAATGGATGTTTGTAGGTGTATAAGAACTGTTTCCATAGAAACACAGTAATGTGAGTAACCCTTGGTAGTTTATATAGAATTTCTCAAAAAAGAATATAGCTATTTAAGGTATGATTAGTTAGTCATTGTTCATCTTGCATCAACTTTTCATAAAATTTGCCAGGTGCCTTCTGGGTGGTAACCTCATTCAGAATTGTTCATCTATTACAATATCAAAGGTTTTTTATATTTTGCTAATATTTTTGATACTTTTGGTGATGTTTTGGTTTTATTAATATTTAGCATGCATTTAGTTGACTTCATTCAGATTTGTTCGTTCATGGCAATAAATTGTTTTCAATTTTTTGCTAATATTTTTGATATTTTTAGGTGATATTGCAATTGCATATTCTGCATGTATTGAGTTGACTTCAATCAGATTTGTTCAATTTGTAAACAAAATAAATTCCTTGTTTTGACAGTAAACATAAATGTAGCAGTATTTACACAAATTGGTGAAATACTGACAACTTAACATGAACATAGGACTCCGATTCACTGAAAGCACTACAGTTGTCATATTGCATTGTTTTGGATACAAATATATGAGGCCCGTAGCGTCATATACAATGCATGTAAAATACATTGTTTTTTTGTTTGTGCTTCACAATGACCGTAGTGCTTAAATTGTACAGGGACTTTAAATAAAAACTTGTGTTTAAAGACTTAAATTGTTCATCAAATGAATACTGCTACATATGCGGTATCTCAACACGTGCCGAAATTTTGAATCCTTTATGTTTTAAGCGGGAATAAAACAGTTGTGTTCAGGTTAGTTGGGACCCACATCAGGAACCCACTTGGCTTTTGCTGAAATCATGCCCACATTAGGCGATCTGTTATTTGACCCAAACATGGCAAACGATATGCATATGATGATAATATGAGGTTATTACAAGAATACCTCGAAGTATACACGGAGACAGTACAGCTGGAGTATCGACCGACGCGCAGCAGAGGTCGATGCGCGGCGTACTGTCTGAGTGCATACTTTGAGGTATTTTGTAATAACCTTATTATTATACATCTTTTCCTCCAAGGATACATCATGGGAATGCCGAAATCCAAAAACTTTAGAACAGAATCAGCTAACTTCTGTGTGGAGTCCAGTCAAACCCTGATGGCAGCCATGTTTGTTTTTATTATTAGAGGACGCTTAAGTGCATAATCATTCCATATTTGGAATTCGCATTTCCATATATGGTAGGATGAAAATACCCTGTAAAATACCGCAAAATTACGGCACGCTGTAACTTATGGCGTTACGGTGACAGATGTATAATAATAATAATTACTTCATTGAAATCATACCCATTTGCTGTTATAGTATTTATTTTGAATCATCGTGCACTTAAACAGCAAAGAACAGTTGTTTCACATCGATGTAACATTGCAAATAGAGAACAGTTGCAGCAGTACATAAATATGCATCAATGACAACATTCTGCATTCATTTCATTCATATACTACATCATATGACCATATCTAGCTGCACTTTCACTTTACATCTCCATGTCACACTAAGTATGAATCAGTTCACACACATGTTTAGGCATGTGTTGACTCAGTCCCGACTCTTGGCACATGCCAA